CAGTCAGTCTGCTGTTATCCAGATGGGTTTTCTTCATTAATAACTTCATATTTCATTAGTTTGAAGATTTTTCGAGTTGAAAATACTGCAAAAATCACACTCCATAATTATGTTGACAACACTACAATTTTAATATGAAAATCTCAAACTAAAAAAACAACTTAAATTATGCATTAATTGAAGTTTCGAGACATTTTAAAATGCATCTTTTCAGAACCGCATCTGACACATGCGACGGTCAGGAGGGGGGAGACGGCCAGGCGGTGTGGGGGCGGGGGTAGCGGTGCGCGACTGCTCTTCCTCTGAATAAATGAAAACTATGTAACACAGGTGACTACACTTAAATTAAAAGTATTTGACCAAAGAAAAACCGGACCAGGACTAAAGAGAGATGAATATGATTTAGATTTTTATAGCTACGACCCACTGGAGACACGACATTAACAGCAGTCGTCATTTCATTCCGTTCTTTGGCTTTAGCTGGTCCTTTAATTCCACGACTGACGCTGCTAAAACGGACAGATTTTCTTTTCTCGATCTCGGAAAGCAGGACTTTAATCTCCGAACTCGTATTCTTTTCTACTTTTCGCTGTCATTTTCATGAATGGACACTTCCTGATATCTGAGGCAGGAAACATAGCCTTATTTGGAGTTTTTAGGGGTGGTAATTATGCTAATCTCCTCTCCTTGTGCACGAGGAGCTGGATAGAACAGGTGGAAATCATCATGTTTACGCAGCTCATTTACACACTTTTCCTGAAGATAGAAGAGTTTGTTGAATCTGACGTGACATGTTCGTACGAACCCTTCGTTCGAACAAAAGTAAGAGAAATTTAGGATAAGAATATGAACATGTTCTTGCACGAGGCCCATTGTCAATCACCTTTTTTCAGGCTAGTTATGTTTTTACTCTGTTTGTTTGTTTTTAATACAAATTTTGTGAACCACTGGATGAAAGTCATCCTCAACACAGACATCAACAAATTATCTTTAAGCCCCGCCTACTTTATTCAGCCCTAATGATAACAATGAACAGGTGTGGGGAGCAGGACAGAGGAGCAGAAACTGAACATTGTGGAAAGATGAACTGATTTGGACACCAGGAAACTGAAACCAAGATCTATTTGAGCTTAAATATCTGTCAGGGATGACTCTCAGCTACAACCACACAAAGTTTTAGCTCCATATCTGTGCAAAATGACAGAGTTATCACCATTTGTGTGTTTGCTGTGGATGGACTGTAGATCAGCAAAATCAGCTTGAGATGTTAGTAAAATATCTCATCCACAGGCTGGTTTTCTTTACTTTTACAGTTAGCATAAATGTTCAGGGTCGTACCGAGGTGTAGAGGTAGCCCTCGCTGTTCATGGCCACGTACAGGCCCGTCTTGGTGCTCTGGATGGCCACGATCCTGAGACCCACAGGAATCAGGTTGAACTGCACTGAAAGGAGCAAAAACACACACAGAGAGATGATGTTAGAGTAAATTTAAACTGTAAAAGCTCAATCTGTTACAATGTTCACCTGTAAAATGTTGGATATTGATTAAAAAAAGAGACAAAAGGAACGATAATAACCAAGTCGGTTTCATAAAAGTTCTGTTTAATTTTCAGGCTTTTTTTTTTATAAAAAAAATTCATGTAACTACCTTTAGCTGTTTGGCTAATTAAAAGGGCTGATGCATTAGCATTGCTAACTCAGTATTTTACATTTACTTTAGCTACTTGATCCATATTTGTCTTCTTCTGCTACTTTTAGCTGTTTGTTGGCATTTTGCAAAATGTAGGTTTTAATCACCATTCTGCTACTTTTAGCCATATGGTATTTTTAGCTAATCTTTGGTTGTTTTTAGCTTGTGTAGCTTTTAGCAACTTTTTACCATGTGTAACCTTTAGCCACTCTTTTGCTGCTTTTAACTGCTGTTCCATTACTTTTAGCTAGAATTTTTCTACTATTAAGTCCCATTTTGCTACTTTAGCTAGTATGTTGCTACATTTAGATGACATTTTTTTAGCTTTCTGTTAATATTGGAGTACCTCTAGTTAGCCCTTCCTTTTATTTAGCTTTTCGTTAGCCTTAGATATCGTTAAGCTTTGAGCTATTTGCTACTTTAAGCTTCCTGTTTGCTTCTTTTTGTAATGATTGGTGTGGAACCCAAAATGCAGGCAGACACGAGGACTTGAATGCAAAACAAAACTGATTTAATGAAACAAAAAGGCTGGCGTGGCAGCAAAAATACAAAAGAAACCATGGACAGAGACGAGGAATGAAAGGCAATGATCCAACAGGGTGATGAAGAAATGACACTGGTTAAATGCAACTGAGGATGATTGGGGAGTGGAAGCACATGGGTGATTACTGACCATGGACAGGTGAGTGTGGCAGGCTGGAAAAATACTAAGAAGCTGCTGAGGATAACATGAAACAGGAAATGGAGAAAACTAACAGGAAATGAGAAAATAAGACGCACGATGACCAAACAATGAAACAGAAAATTTTAATAAATTGAACCATAAAAAACAAGAATCATGACATTTTTTGCTATTTTTGTTTTGTAGCTAGATTTGATACCTTTAGCTACTTGAAATTTTTAACAAACATTTTGCTACATTTAGCTGGCATTTTAGAATTTCTATCTTTTAGCTAACCTTTTGGTGCTTTTAATTGCTCTTTTGTTACAGCTGCACCTTTTTGACTTTTAGCTTTCAAATAACAATTTAGCTACTTTTAGCTATCAGATAGTCTTTTACTATTATTTGTAGCTAGCCTTTTGATGCATCTAACTTTAAGCTACTTTGTTGCTGCTTTAACATTTAGCAAGTGTTTTATACATTTAGCTGACCTTTTGTAACATTTAGCTTAAAACCTTATAGACCTCAAACCTTTAGTTTTCAGCTGACCTTTTGGTACTTTTAGCTAAAGAAAACAAAACATTTCTTGTAAACTCTGTATCTGTTTGTCCTCCTGGTTTTGCTCTTTGGTGAAATCTTGCTCATTTGCAGAAGCAAGTGTTTGAGATGCAGAAATCGATCCAGAAAATAGAAAGAGACAAACCCTGGAGACGAAGACCGAGGTAGAGGAGGGGCAGAGATGTTTTTATTACAGCTGATATGTTTTCATGATCATCATTTTATTTTTCATCAAAACAGAACCATTCATTCTGTTTACAGAAGTTTTGTTTTTTGTTCTTTTCAACCAACTCTGAATTAAGAGCAGTTTTATGTTGTAAGAATTGAAAACAGAACAGGGTTTATATTACTGAAAAGTTAATTTTATGCATCTTTTTCTGTCTTGTAAGTCATTTTCTCTTATTTTATTTTTTAAAAATTGTCTTTGGAACCCTAGCTTTTGATTTGTTAAGATGAACTTGTTTGTCCTCGTGGAGCTTTTATTTCCAGACATGTTAAATAAGCTAAAACCTGGAGAACTGATGAGTCAGCACATCAGGCAGTTATCTTTAACACATTATCTTCTGCTGAGCCCAGAGGATCGATATTGTTTCTTTACATTAGAGTTTTACTGAACAAACACCTGTCGTCTGCCTGAAAACAGCCGTTTGTTTCGTGATCCTCCGTCTAACGTCTGAAATTCTGCTCGTGTTTCAGGAGCTCCGGCTCATGTTCGCGGTCGTTTCATAGTAATGACATTTAATTAGCGCCCAGATTCCAGCGGGGCTGCGAGGATTTGAAATGAAGTCTCCGGCGGACAGCTTTCAGCAGCGAGATCATTAAGCTAATAAAAAAGGTGGATTCACAATGGCAGCAGCTGGAACGGTTTCTGTTCTCACGTTGTCATTTCTGTCGTCAGGAAAAGAGGTTTAAAGGCTCAAAGGCTCGACTTCTAGCTGCTTCGTGACGCCCATCTTTGTCCTCCGATGATTTAACTTTAGCGTCAATTAAACTTTAGCTGTTTAACTTCATCGTGTCCCCACAGCTGATGGAGGTTTTCTGTTTCCTGCGTACTTTGTGTCATTTTAGTCATTCATATAAAACGTCCTGTTCTTTCTAGAGATGGATGCTGTGATTTTCAGTTTTATACTTTATATTGTAGGGGTCACCTCGAGTGAAGAAACAAGATTTACTGCCTCGAAGCAGGCCTGGGACAGGCCTGACGAGAGGACAGGAACTCTGTCACAAACTGAACTCTATTTAGGCCATGACAGGTCATTCTAACCGTGGAAGAGAACTCCCCAGTTCTCTTAATCAGATAATGGACAGAACATTCTCTTCTGTTCGTGATTCATTTGTTGTTTAACTAAGAATATTTATGCATTTGTTAAATCATGATTATGACTGTCGCAGGAAAAGTGGAACCATTTCTTTTCTTTTATCGTGACTTAAAGATTTATAAAGGTATAAAAAATCACAGAGAATCTGATTACAATGTTTTCATTGTGTTTTTATGTCAATCACTGTTTTTATTTTACTGTGTACACAGTAATATAATTGTGGATTTTTCCTGARRAAATCTTTCATTTATCTGGACTAACAGAAGGTTCAGAACTGATTATAAAACAGAAATGTTAATTAATCATCATAAATGTTTTGCAGTGATTTCTCTTAGAGTCTATCAGAAGAAAGCTGAAAAGAGGTTATCATATCAGTTGTTAAACAACCACAGAATTTTAATCTTGGGCTGGCGCCGGCGGGCAAATCTTTATCTTTCTTTCTCTGACTCATCTCTAAGCCTGAGGGCAGAACCAAAGTTCGTCCGTTTTTTTTTACTAACCTGGATGGCTTTGAGTGACACACTCTTCTTCCTGATTCCAACCTAGGAAGACAGCTGGGATTCTCGCCAGAGAAACCTCAGTTTGGCTTTAAGTCTGATCCCATGAACTAATTAGGTAAGACTTCACAGCCAGGGACCCGGCACGCCTGCCGGTGGTCTCAACCCGAGGCCGAGCCTCTAAGTGTGTTTTTAGTTCCCAAGGGGAGATTTTATTTTGCAAAGAGGAACTGGATACGGCTTGAATTTTTCTGGCTTGGACTGAAACAGACGAAAGTTACCTGGAAAAACACCTGTTCGCCAATGACCGGTAAGCGAGCCGACATCAGTTCCCTGACTGATCGGAGGCGAGACAGCTCCTACCCTGAGGGTGCCTTAAGAAGTCATCACCAGGTAAAGCTGATGTGTTCGGAGTGACGTGTCATGTGGAACCTGAGCTTAGAAAAGACGYGCAGTTCCGGTTGACCCACACTTTGATAAAAGTAAAAGTAGTAGTAACATACTAATCTTACTTTCCTCCTTTCCTTGTTCTTAATTTGCCAAAACTTAAGCTAAAAGTGCCAGTAAAATGGTTGTTAACATCAGAACTGACATTTTACTGTTCTATATAAGTAATCTGAGTTGATGTGAACTGAAATTCGGATGTGGGTTTTATCTCATTTAACTCTGACGCTTGTTATAGGAATGAACACAATCAGGTGTAACTAATGGTCTGTTCAATTTGTGTAAATAAATGATTGCATAGTCTTTTATGAATCAACTTGCACAGTCAAGATATTAACAAGTAATGAGAAATACCTTGGTAAAAGTTTCCTCATAACCTTGTGTATGAGAGATGTGGGAAAAGCTTAATTCACCTTAAGCTCACTCTTACATATTGGTGGCACTGTACGGTCCAATTTATCTTCTTTTTTAGGTATTTTCCACAAAGAGAAACAATCTCCTTAAAACCATCATTCTGTTTGAATTCTGCTTCGACACACAGGTTTTGTATGCTAAGTCTTTTGCTTAGCATACAACAAACACATTAATTTTTGTAGCTACTTTAAGCTACCGTTTTTCTGCCTTAGCATTTAGTTAGCCTATTGTTAGTTTAGGCTTTCATCCAGCCTGTTGATACTTTAGCAACTTTTTACTATTTAAGTTAGCCTTTTGCTAATTTAAAATTTGAATGAACCTCTTAAGCTTTTAGCTACTATTCTTCTCTTTTTATATTTAGTTAGCCTTTTGCTATTTGTAGCTTTAAGCCAGCCTCTTGATATTTATGTTTACTTGTAGCGACCATTTTGTTAATTTGCATTAAATTATACTTTAGCCACATTAGGAGTTTGCTAGCCATTTATTACAGTTACCTTTCAGCTAGCTTATTATACTTATCGCTACCTTTAGCTTTTAGCATCCATTTTGCTACTTTAGCATTTAGTCAACTGTTGCAACTTAAGTTTTCGTTAAACTTTTACTAATTTTTTCTGCTACTTTGAGCTAACTTCTTATCATCCCACTGTAAGCTTTTAGCTACTACTACTTCAGTTAGCCCATAGAAAACATATAGCTACTTTTAACTTCCATCTTGCAACTTTAGCATTTTGTTAGCCTTTTACTTCTTTTAGCTACTAGCCCATTAATACTTATAACTATTTTTAGATAAAACATTGCTAATTTAACATTTAGTTATACTTTAGCTAATTTAGAATTTAGTTAGTCTTTTGCTATGTTTAGCTTTCAGCTAGCCTCTTGGTACTTTAGCAATCATTTTGCAAATTCAACATTTAGTCAACTTCTGTTTCTTTAAAACGTAGTCAGCCTTTTGATACTTTTAGCTTTCAGTTAGCTTATTTAATTAGCCTTTAGCTACAGACTATGGGTAACATCTGTGCCACTAACATCATCTTTCACAGTAAATGATAAAAACTCTCCTTGTTTCTCTTTCAGATTTATTACATAACATCCTGACGAGCCAAGAGCGGGGAAGGAGAGACGGGGAAGGAGATGGGGGGTGGGGGCAGCTCCCCTGACCTCCCAGCAGAGGGGGGGAGGCACAGTGATTGAGGAGCCATCAGCTGTGTGCCAGCTGCTCCCTCCTTCCTCACATTTTTTAAATCCCCATCACTTCCCGTCTCGTCCTCTGCCAACTCGTCTCGTTTCTTTTCTTCTGTCCTCTCTGATCCCCCGCTCTTTGTCTCTGTCCTCGTCTCACTCGGCGCTTCAACGCCGAGCCGCTCCCAGCTTTGTGACAACTATCACCCAGTTACAGCAGCCCTGTGGGATCATCCACCGGGAAGTGATAAAACTAAAGAAAGGCCATACAAAAGCCTTTTTTTTAAAGTTTGTTTTTATTAGATCCTCTTTAGGGATTCTGCTTCTTCCTCAGATGGTTTCTGAGTCCACGTTCTGTCTTCATGGTTCTTTTTGATCCAGATAACTGGGTGTATAAAACTATGGAGCACCAAATGTACAAAAAAAATTTAAATATTACTATTTTCATCATTTGCTTCTTTCTGAGTGTAAAATCCCAATAAAAATTTCTACTAACATTTGATTATTTTGCTAATTGTTCTTACATTTTGATAAATGTAAGAACAATGTAAATTTCAAATCCTAGTTAGCCTTACTAGCATCAGCAGCGTTAGTAAGATTAGCAATGTTGGTAGCATCAGCAGCATTAGCAACATTAGTAGCATTAGCAGTGTTAGTAGCATTAACAGCATCAATAGCATAAATAGCATTAGCGGTGCTATTAGCATTGGCAACGTTAGTAGGATCAGCAGTGTTGGTAGCATCAGCAGCTTTAGTAGCGTCAGTAGCATTAGTAGCATGAGCAGCATTATAAGCATTAGCAGTGTTGGTAGTATTAGTAGCTTTAACAGCATTAGCAACATTATTAGCATTAGCAGCATTGATAGCATTAGCAACTTTAATAGCATTAGCAGCTTTAACAGCATTAGCAGCAGTGGTAGCATTGGCAGCTTTAATAGCATTAGCAGCTTTAACAGCATTAGCATCTTTAATGGCATTAGTAGCATTGGTAGCATCAGCAGCTTTATTAGCATTAGTAGCATTGGTAGCATYAGCAGCTTTATTAGCATTAGCAGCTTTAACAGCATTAGCATCTTTAATAGCATTAGCAGCATTAGCAGCATCAGCAGCTTTATTAGCATTAGCATCTTTAATAGCATTGGCATCTTTAATAGCATTAGCAGCATTGTTAGCATCAGCAGCTTTTTTAGCATTAGCAGCGTTTTCAATGTAATTACTTAAATTTTAATATTTAGCCTCAACATTTACGTTTAACTTTTACATTTAAATGTACACATGTAGATTCAGCATTTGGATTAAATTTAACACTTAGTGAAAATTAGCTAAATGTAACAACAGTGAGCTTAATAAGAATAAAATACCAGTGGAAATTTTTCAATAGGATTTTTCGCTTTGTAAATGAATAATCAAAACATGTTAGTGACCCTTTTTTAACATTTTATTTAACACACACCATGTAGTTCAGGAAGAGGAGAGACCAGAAAGAGCCGGTCCTGTTGGAGGGTCGCCATTCTTTCTACGACCAGGTTCTCCTCTCTACCCTCCTAAAAGTCAAAGTTTAGAAAGTTTCGACATCTTAATCTGGTCGTAGACGTCCGGCAGACATTTCAAACTGTCAGAAACTGACGGGAATAAAAGCGTAACCCTCATTCGGGGCGAGCTAAAGTCTTTCTAAAGTGGCTCTAGTGAAGATTTCAGCATCAGCTCCAGGTTGGAAACACGTCTCCTGCCACATTCTGACATCTTAATAAAAAGCTGAAATATAAGCTTCACGTAGAGAAACACAAGTCAGAGCATGATTCCCACTTCCCTGTAGGCTGTAAATCTGAAATTGTGCAGACGAGATGTTTTCCACCTAAACTGTTGTTTTGACAGAAAAAAAAACTGCTGCGTTGCCACATCAGATTTATCGTATAAAATAATATTGATCTCCTCGGGAGCGGTGGAGGGAGTCCTGGGAGTCTGGATACCGTGTTTTTAGTCAGTAATCACCCAGGCGATGACCCGAGGCAGGCCCAGGTAATGATGATGATGATGATGATGTTTGTGGAGAGGCTGAACTGAAAACCAAAGCAGGTTTTTCTACCAACAAGCAACATTTGAAGCCTTGAGTCGGACCTTATTACCTTTAAATATCTTTCTGTTTCAAGGCAGAGAAAACACATCTGGTGCAGATTATTATTTTTTCTGTGATTTAGTTTTTCTGTATATAAGAAGGCTGCAGAAAAAGATCCATATATGAATAAACCAACGTTGTTCCGGGGAAAGATTCTGTTACAAAGTAAATCCTGTAAAAAAAATATTAAGAAAAGATTAATAACTGCTAGAAAAAAAGTGAAGGGAAAATTTGTTTTAGAAAAAAAATCCATTAGGGAAGGACTCTTGTGGGCAGATGTCTGTACAAAGACTCTGTTGAAGATCTAAACACAATAAAAGATACTAAGTAAAACATCTCTGGTGGAAAAAACTTTGCAAGGAACTATTCCAAAGGGAGAAAGATTTTGTCAGAAAAAGTTGAATGATTTAAGTGAACTAAAGATTATTTTAAGGGACATTTCTTGTGAACATTTTTCTTGGGGGAATGATTCTGTTAAGCAAATACTCCAGTGAGAAAAAAACAATGGGCCTCATGCAAGAACCGTTCGTACGCACAGATTTGTTCTTAAGTTGTGCGTACGAGTGATTTAGGAGAATTTGTGGCATTCACCAA